CCCCCCCCCCCCCCCTGTCCAACCGTCGCGATCACCGTCGGTACGTCCACAACGCTCACCGTCTTGGCCCCGCGACCACCACCTCGTTTCACGGCCCCGTTTCCCCCGCACAGAGCGAGACACCAGCAAGCGGGCGACCACCAGCAGCAGCACCGCCAGCAGCAGCAGCAGCAGCAGCACCGCCAGCCGCAGCAGCAGCACGAGCAGCGTCATCGAAACCCTAAGCGCGGGCGCTCAGACCTCGGCAAGGACTCAGGCCTCCTCAGCGCTGCCGCCGACCTGGTGAGCCGTACTTATTTTTATCCGTATCTTTTATCCGTATCTTACTATGCTGTAACACAACAAATTGATTTCTGTCCACAGGTACGAGTCCAAGAGAAATTACAATTCGCAATTCGCAATGATCCATGTTTTGTGGAGGGGGGGGGGGGTTGTCGCGTCTTGTTTCGCCGTTGCATGGAAGGAAGTGTGGTGTATCCGCAACACTGATATCTCGCTCCGTCGACACGAAAAATGTCATTGTAGCCTTGATATTTTTGGTCGTTCCGCTCTCTTCTCGTGTCTCTGCTCGTTTTTTATGGGTGTCCTTCGTCGTTGTGCCTGGCTGTTGTCGTCTTGCTGTGTCAGGCCGCTCTTAAGGGCGCGTCCCCGCTGAAGCCACCCCGACCGGGCCCTGACGGCCCCAACGATAACGGCGGTAGGCGGGCAAAGAGCCTCAGGGACCAGTTCGGCGAGGCTTCGTCGTACACCAACGACGATCCCTCTGATGCTGCTGCTGCTGCTGCTGGTGGTGGCCCACCACGGCACCACGCCCACGACGATGATGGCGGCGGCGGCGGCGGCCGCCGCAGCCGTAACGGCAGCGGCGCCAAGGCTGACTCCCTCGCCGTGCTGACCATGGCAATAGGAAAGCAAGCGGAAGCATCGGCGGCGGCGGCGGCGGCGGCGGCGGCGGAAGCGGCATCAGGTTTCCGAGTGGGGTCGGGGGGGGCGAGGGGCGAAGAGAGCGAATTGCCCAATGTCGACGGCGATGATGACGACGACGACGACTCGTCTGACGGGGAAACTAGCCCGCACGGCACGGTGATGATGGGGGTGGCGCCGGACGCCTGGGGGGCAGCAGCGAAGGGGAGGATCGTGGCCGTAGACATGGTCGGAGAGGTGAGACACGCGCATTTTGTACTTTCTTAGTGTTTGTTGTACTGGATGGGTGATAAAGTATGCAGATGCTGAAACTGTACCTTAAAACATGCGTCCGATGTGGTTTTGCCCGCGTACGACAGCAGTCGTCGCAAGCAGGCAGGTGGGACGTCGGGTGCCATGTTAGTATTTCTGTCTCAGTCTGTCTCTCTGTCTGTCTCTATGTGCCTGTCGTCCTCTCTCTGTCTCTCCGTGTCCCTCTCTCTCTGTCTCTCCGTGTCCCTCTCTCTCTTCCTCCCTCAGTATCGTTTCCGGGTGCATGGTCTCGGCAGCTCTTGTGTAGATAGCTCTGCCTTGTACCTCGTGCCTCATGTGTTGCCACCGGTGAATATCTTACGTTTTCTCGTCTCTGGGCCTAATTCTTGCCGGCAGGTGTCCTGCTCCGAGACGGAGCCGCTTAGCTCTCAGACGAGCTTCTGGGGATCTCAGCCGTCGGCGCAAGAGGGCACTTCTAGCGCAGAGGTGAGTGGAGACGGGAAGTACAGCAGCAAAAGCAGCACAGCCACCACGGTGTGCGGTGGTCGCCTTTAGCGGTGATCAGTGTTGAAGCACGCTCGGTGTTGATGTTGGCGGCTTCCTAGGGCACGGTGGTTCGCAATTTCTGCAGTGCGGAACCGCTACCGCGCTGTAAAACAAGCGGTGATATCGCTTCGTTTCTCCAGAGTTTGACACGCGCATGTATCTTCCTCCTCGAGAGTCGCCAGTTTCCACCACTCTGGGGGCATGTCCTCTAAAGACTTGGCGTCTAGCGCGCTCTCGTCTTCTTGGGTCGCCGTACGCGTGTGATTCATTCATGCAATGTTTGCCCGGAAAATTTCTTCTCTCCTTGGCGTTGTGCTTCTTTTTCCTCGCCGCAACATATCTTGCAAAAATCAAATTGTTTACGCGATGTTCTCCTCCCCCCCCTCCCCCGCTCGTCGTGCGCGTTGCCCTGTGCTGTGCAGCGGCCCCCCGGGGCTGCTGCTGCTGCAGCCATGGAAGGGACGCCGCCGCGGCCAGGCACGCCAACACCCCGTCCACCGGCGGCGACGGCGGCGACGGCGGGGACTATCATAGCCGGGGACGAGAATATGGCGGCGGCGCCAACAGGGACGGCGGCCGGCGCCGAGTTGCCCGACATGTCCGATCACCAAGTCCGCAAGCAGAAGTCGTTGCTGCAGCAACAGCAGCAGCACCGAGGTTCCGCGGGTGTGGACCCAGGGGGACGGCGACACCCGCCGTCAGAGGGGAGTACGGCGGGGAGACCAGCAGCGGCACCTCTGGAGGCGGAAATAAGCAGCAGCAGCAGCAGCAATAATAATAGTAGCGAGATATTCGTGGACGTGGCCGCGGCTATGCCCTCCTCCCGCGGCCTCTCTCTCTCCGACCAGGTGCTCCGGCAGTCGTCGCCCTCGCCGCCGCCTTCGATCCTCAGCAGTAAGAGGCCACGCAGCGAGCCGCCGCCGCCACTGCCACAAGAGGGAGGAGTAACACTGCGGGAGGAGGAGGAGGAGGAGACCCCCCGCGACGAGCAGGGGGGGAGTGGTAACGACGCGGTTTCCCCTCCGCGGACCCCCGCGAAACGCCCACGCCCCGGTAGCAGCAGCGGCGGCGACGAAAGGACAGCAGACGAAGCGGCGCCGGCGGGAGCAACAGCAGGCATCGCCGCGGACGGGGAAGGAGACGCCGGGGGGAGCGACGGGGGGAGCGACGGGGGCGGGGGTCAGCCGGCCGCTGGCGACGGCGGCGAGGGGGGCGTCGCCGCGGGGGAGGGGGGAGGAGG